CAGGGAGGCAAGGCGACGGCCTGTGCCGCGTCCTCCTCCGAGCTGAGCCCTGCTGAGTCAGCACCTCTGCCTGATGCCCGTTTCGCTGCAGCGTTTGGAGCTGCCGGCGCATTTGGAGATGCGTGGGGACGGGGACGGGCTGGGTGAGTGGTGGAAAGGACAGGGGCTCTCTCCGCCTGCCAGGGAAGCAGCGCTGCCATCACCTCGCCTCCCTGTCCGCGGACGGGTGGGCGCTATCACTGCCTCGGGCAGCCTCTCCTGGTGGCACCTTCGGCGGAAGGTCTCCCAATACGAAGTGCCCCACCAACACCGAGATCAACATCCAAGCTGTCGTCGCCCACCCACCCAAGGATGCAAGGGGGGGGGAATTAAGTCACCCCTGAAAAGACGGCCTAGCCATTTTTTCAGGGGTCAAAAAAAAAAAAGGGCCGGCCTTATTTTGTGAGAAACACAGTACCTATATTTATAAATTAAAATTTTGTAATTAATATAAATCCTTGCTTTAACATAGCAAATCTGTATTATGTACTATAAAACTAAAACAAAATTTAAGTTTGAGAACTGTAATATAAAAACATATAAGCATTTTTCTCCATTTTAAGTTCTTGGGTCTTGACTTCATTTTCTCAGAATTTTACTTAATTCTATGTATTTAGAATATATTGACACTGTATATTTTATACTATTTCTTTACTAAAATTTACAATTGTGAGAAAATTCAAGTTTTCTGGTAGTCATGTGATATGAACTTTTTAAAGTTATTAGAAGGTAACTGTGGATTGTTACTATTTAAAATAATTTCAATTTTAGAAACTTCTTCCAAAAATCATCCTATATTAAATGGAAATGAGAAATACTTTGAAATACTAGACATCCATTAAGAAGATTACTAAAGCAGACTACCTGGCATGTTTAAAGGAGATCAATAAATTTTTATTATGGTCATAGTCACAGACTAGCATTACAAATAAGAGCATTAAAACAAAAGTAAAAAAAATAAGACAGACAGAATAAAATATTGCTTTTGCTGGTGGTTTAACAGTGGGCAGTTAAAGTTTGCCTAATTTTACATATATCATAACAGAATTTGGCCACATTCCAAAAAACTACTAATACTGATCTTATAACAGTAGTTACTCTGTAAAAAAGATCAGTATTTCCAAGATATTTTATTAGGTAAGATGTTATAAACTGAGTCCCTGAGCCCTTAGAGAAAATGCAGTATAGCAGGGTGTGAGCTGTATGGTTCCTTGTCCACAGGGGCACAGTCGCAGCTCATATAGTATTCTTTTTGTATTGGCCCTCCCAATCTGCTGTGGGAAATGTGTTGCAGCACACGAAGGTTAATGCCCTTCGTATTTTTGGGACAGTTGTTTGACATAAATATCTCACTGCTTTAAAAGGGGGAATTTAATTGCTCCAATAAACATGTGTGGGAAGAGCAGCCCAATCTTGTTGGATTTCCAGATCTTTGCACACTCATATCCCATCATCAAAAGCACTTCTCTGGAGAAACCAAGATACTGCAGGTTTTTTTGAGATGGTCCTGAACTATATTGATTCAAAATTGTCTTCTATAAGGAGAGGACTCAAAGAGTAGTTTTAACAAATGTGCAAAAATGTAATTGTACATGAGCCTTTGCTAAATATAACTTCAGGGCTCCTGGAATATACTTCGGGGACAGGGGGGGGGAATATAATTGCTACTGTGTTTTGGTCATTTTAGATGACATACTTTTGATGTGTTTAGTAAAGCTATGGGTTAAAGAAGTTTTACTATACTAGAATTTCTTCAGAATTATTTTTCGTCTAGTACAATGGATTGTTTGAATTTCATACTATGTGTATTGCTGAAATGCTACCATGTTTACATTTAAAAAAACACTTAGAATACAGTATTAGATACTTGACAGCTATCTCTCGACAGACCATAAATAATCATGATGATTTATTCATTTTTCCCACCTCTGACACAAACTAGTTAAAAGAGAAAAAATGATTAATGGTGAAACATCCAGGCGTGATCTCCATCAGTCTGATACTCTGACTGAGATGTTCCATTCTACTAAATGATAAACTATGGTACCATCAAGGTCAGTTTTCCAAAGCCAAATTAAGAAAAGGATTCTGTAAAAAATTATTCCATAATCTAATCAGTGTCTTGGGAACTAAATTAAATAAGAGAGACATGGAAGTGAAGTTACCATTTCTAAACCCAGCAATAGGCTCTGATATTCAACAAACCTGTTACTCCATAGTTTCAACTTCAGCAAGTTTAAGATGTGTGGACCAATTTCCACATTTCCCCAGCCAACATGTTGAAGTCCACATATCTTAAAAACTACCAAGGTTGAAAAACGTTGCTCCTTAAGAATCCAATGGGATTTGGAATTTCCAAATATTCCACAAAAGGTAACAAAATATCCAAGTCACAGAAGAGAAACCACTGATGCTCAAAAATATTCAACATGGACAACATGGATCTTTATTAAACCACAGACACTATGAAAGTACAATACAAAAACTATAAATACTGTTGAAACATATTACCATCTCCTTGCACAATAAACTTGCATAAAAAGACAGATTTATATGTCGACATCTTAAAGAATCAAGAATATACAGCCCATTAAAACCAATATATGGATAACATGACTCTACACAAGGACATTTATATAAGTACAGTTTACACCAAAAAGACAACCATGTGAACACAATACTGCACATAAACAAAAACGATAAACTTGAACAAACCTCCAGCCCATTAAAGAAACTCACAAATTCTAAACAATGTTGACATATCATGGTAAGTCATGGTTTACTGAAAGAATATAAATAGCTGGATTCATACAGCATACTAAGCCACACACTATTGTTTACAAAGTTCAATGGCTGGATTCACACATACACAAAACCTTAATTGCATGGTAATTCTTCAAGTCTAAACAAATCCCTCAACAAACCAAAAGCACACTCACAAATACAAAAATAATGTATTTTGACAACGCTGGATTTGAGGGAATATGCTCTGGATATTAACAAAAGAAACTAAGCTAAAATAAACTTAGAATTGATTTTACTAATTTGTAATACTAGTAACTAACCAATGGTTAATACATCCATTGTTTACTACCTTAAGAGATAATGCTGGGGTTTGCACAGAATATGGAATATAAATTAATTATCTAGATTTATACATATTAATAAACCACATTTTAGCTAAAGATGCTCTGTGAAGTGAGTCTCTGGATTCATGGTTTATTAAATGATTGAGTAAATAAACTCCAATTGGTTGATACATATAACACTGTAAAGTTAAATCTTACAGTCTTGTTCAATAAACACTGTGCTATAATATATCTTGGCTTAGTTTACAATTATGCAAACACTGCTCTAGACTTTCAAGTTAAGCAGGAAGGAAAAGGGGGTTGCAAAAGATGATCACATGAGCCCAAGACACTACAATTATCATAAATCTATGCCTAGTTGCCAAGTATCCGATTTTTGATTATGTAAGCATGGGGATGCTACAATAGTCATAAGAGTGAAAATGGTCATAAGTTTCTTTTTTTCAATACTGTTGTAACTTCAAATGACTACTAAACTAATAAAATGCTGAAAACAATCTCAGTGTGTCATGATTATGAAGGAAAAAACAAAGAGGTTTTATTTTTGGCAGGGAATTAATTTTTCTATTATAGAAAACTAATAAATGTGAATAAAATATTAATGTACAATATTAAAATAGTTAAGGGAAAAAAATAAAAAGCAACCTATACTTTGGAGCTTGGTCTTTGCCCTGTAAAAATTGTATGATATGGCAACCCAGTCTGAGAAGTTAAGACTCCTAAGATACAGCAAAAGAATTATTGGTCTTATTCATACAGCATGCTTCGTCATGATGTGGCTGGATTAGTTTTAGTTCCCTCTTTCTGTTCCTGTAGTTACAGCAATTACACTAAGAGCACGACAAAGAAAACATGGGGTTTGGGAAGAAGGAATACTGGTTGGAAACTGGTAACAGTATGAAAATGGGTGGGAGGGTTACCTAATTGAAAGATAAGCATTTTAATAAACTATCATTTCAAACCTGCTCAGTTATTCAAAAGTGACTTGGATCTTATTTGACATAGCAATCTCCAGTCTCACAAGGAGAGGGTTCTTTTCATTTGATTCATTTCATTTGATTATATCACATTCAGTAATCTGGTAAATCTACTGGCTGGGAAATCTCATGGGACTCTATTTGCAGAGACTTCGCTCTTATGGATGCTCATGTCCTCATGGGGTATCCCACCCCAGCTTGTGCTCTGATTTCCCAATCATCTCCAAATCTGAGGGTCATGCTGATGAATTTTATATTTATTACTTTTAAGGTATGTTAATACCACTCAAATATTTTCACCAAATCATTGTGGAAATCTTTAACTGGAATCTGAACTAAATTGTAGAAAATCTGCATGTTAAGATTATCCATATTAAAACCAAAAGAGGCAAAATTTAAAGGGCAAGAACAAAAGGAAACTTAAAGGACAAGAACAAAATATCTGATACCCTCCTTTGACCGTTTAATCTCCTTTTTTGGTTCTCTCTTATTATAATGACAGATAAATCCCAGCAATTAAAAAATTTATCAAGAAGAACATTTCCTGGGCAAAATATAAATAGCTAAATGCAACTTTATTCTAAATTAAAGGCAAGAACAGCCAACGAATAAATCTCAAGACTATTAACCATCGACATATTTTTCTAATTGTAACCTTGGGAAAACACACGGAAAGCTGACGCTTAAATAGAATCAGTTGGACGTCGCTTGGGTTAATATGAATAAAGCTGAAATACAAATAACACAACACAGAAACCAACAGAATCAATGCGAAGGGAAGGAAATAGCCGGCACTATTTCCCATCTTTGGCTGCAAAGGCAACAACACACACTGCGGAGGAACCGGCTTAAAGGTATGAATGAACCAGAACCCTTTTGTCGCCAAGAGGCTCACCGAAGCAGTAATTGCTCTTCGAGGAGGGGGGAAAAATCTTTTGGTCAAGCACAGATGTCAGCTCCGCCCAAAGACCCTCGGAGGCCAGAGAGGGAATGGAAAGAAAAGGAACCTCCTGCTCCGGAAAGCTCCCCTCCCTCGACGGAATTGCCCTCCGGGGAAGAAAGCGACACGCCCGTTCTGCAGCGCCGGCAGCAGCTGACCGCTCCGCCACCAATCGCGGCGACCTCCCACTTCCCTCCCCCAAGAACGACCTTCCCCGGTAACCCCAACGCGCTTGCGCTAGAGGAAGTGACGTCACGTGCTTTCCGTTTGCGTTGGTCTGCGGTGCCCGTGGGTCGCGCCCGTGTTTTGCATAATAACGGGAAAGCTGTTACACATCGTGGTCATCGTTCCTTGTCCTTTGAAATGAACACCGACAGGCAGAGGACGGGGATGAAAAAGAGCGGAAAGAGTTCGCGCGTGCACCCATTTTGTAATAAAATAAACCGGAATTCCATGACTTTGCACAGCACGCTAAACCTGATTTGCAAATCACAGCAGGACACAAATCAAAGCAGCATGTGGCTTGAAATATCGCGTGAATGCAACTTAGTCCTACAAAGAAAACGAATGACAGGCAGAGGTGGACAATCGTTTTATTAATCCAAATGTCACGAAAGGTACAATATGTCCAGAATTCTTTCTTGTTTAAAAAAAAATCAAAGGCGGCAAATAAGCAGTTTGCATGTTGTGGCTGTAATGTCTGCAATTTCAACTTATAACATGCATTGTGTTTATACATGGTGTTATTCATTCATTCGTTGCATTACAGTGGAGTATTCCTTCCCACAAAAGCAATTATAATTCACATATAAGAGTAAACCATGGCTTAGAAATCACTCCTACATTCTAACATGCTGAACTAAAAAACCAGGTTTTAACTGTCATATCAACCTTGATATTTGTTAAATTGGAATATCATCTTTGGAGAAAAACTAATAGTAAGGAATATTTACTTTCAGTGAAGAATATGCAATATGTGAATTAGATCTGCTTTTTAAGTTCGAGAATACAAATAACCTAAATTCATACAATACACTCCAAATGAGCAAATCAAATTAGGACTGTTTATTATACATTAAGTCCAATTACTAAAGCTGAACTTTCACAAACAAACCCATGAATTATGTTATATGAATACAATTGGATTGGAGATGAAATCCAAGCAAACCAGTGTTTTTGGCATATGTGAACCAGGTCAGTGACAATTTGTGCAACATCTTAAGCATTGTTAAAGATACAGAGATGCCACTCCAGTTAACTTGGATATTTAGGATTTATAAATCAGTGTGTTTGTAATTAAACTTTTAAAGTTTAAGACACTGGCTGGATTATGTTTTATTACTTATGTTTGCATTATATTGAATTCCAATATGCTGTGATCACTCTGGCCCAAAGTTCTGGCAATTTCAACACCCTCTATCATTTCTTTGCTATTAGTAAGAATTAGGTCCAGTTGAACTTTTCCTATAGTTCCCTCTATTTTTTGGATGATAAAGTTGTCTGCTAAGTTGGTTAGGAATCTGTTCAATCTTCCACTTGCTGCACAGTTTGTCTCCCAGTTGATATAAGGGTAGCTAAGTCTCTCATTACTACCATGTTGTTTCCTACATATATTTGTTAGTTGTTTAGCTAAAAGTTCATCTGTTTCTTCTGCTTGTTGAATAGTAGTATATGCCTATAGAAATGTCATTCTTTTTGCTTTTTATATTGACCCATACAGATTCTAGGAGGATCTATAGTTATTTTCTCAGCCCTCTTTCTGATTTGTGCAATATACAGATCCTCAGTGGAAGGCAGGCTAGTTGCAGTTGTTTTTTTCTGTAGTTCTCTGTTGAAGTCTGTAACAGGTCCTGGTTGGTCACTGTGCCAAACCAGACAGTTATTGAGATACATGTGATAAACTCAGTAATTCCTCTGTAGAACCGTATCAGCAGATTCTTGGGCAATCTGAGCTTTCTGAGTTGATGTAGGAAGAACATTCTTTGTTCTTTGCTTTTTAAACGATGATTCTAATGTTAGATATCCATTTCAAGTCCTTGGAGATAATAGAACCTAGAACAGGGCTGTCAAATTCCTGACCCGCAGGCTGGATGCGTCACATGCTGGCCATGCCCACACCCAATTTAGCAAAGGGGAAAAAGTCCTGATACATCATGTAATGCCACCGTGACACTGTGAGTTTGACACCCCACCTAGAAATTTGAAGGTCTTTACTGTTAATACTATGTTGCCTAATATTGTAAGAGGTGATAGGAGAGCTTCTTCTAAAATCTATCTTTACAGTTATAAAAGTGTTCAGCTCAACATTGTTCCGGCTGCACCACAGGGTCAGTTAATCTACCTTCCTCTATATGCATACTCATTATTGTTTCCAATGAGACCAATGACAAACTTCACCAAAGATCAAACTATCATCTGCAAACTTCAGTACTTTAACAGAGAGATCTTTTGAAATACAGTAATTGATACAGAGAGGAAAGAGTAATGGAAAGAGCACACAGCCTTGGGGGGTTCTTGTGCTAATTGAACAGGCATTCAATGTGATTTTACTTAGCTGTACTTGCTTCTTCCTATCTGTTAGAAAGCTTATAATCCATCTGCAAATGTGGTCAGGCACAGCTTGTTAAATCAGTTTAGAGGGGATTTCTGGAATAATGGTGTTGACTGTCCAGCTGAAGTTACAAAAAGAACCCCTATTACATAGGTCTTGGGGATTCAAGATGCAGTATCATATTAACAGCATTATCAGATGATTTATTTGCTCAGTAGGCAAATTGCAAAGGGTCTAACAGCTGATCCATGATAGTTTTCAGGAGGGCCAGCACTAACCTTTCAAAGATTTTAATAACTATGGATATCGGAGCAACCTGTATGTAGTCATTCGGTTCCTTGATGAAAGGTTTCTTCGGCACTGGGATGATAGTAAAGCATTTGAAGCAAGAAGGAACATAACACATCTCTAGTGATTTATTAAAGATGTGGGTGAAAATGGGGGCCAGTTGGTCAATACAAGCTTTCAAGCAAGGTGTTACCTTGTCTGGGTCTGGTGCTTTTCCAGGCTTTTGACTGAAATAGTGTAAAAGACTTGGCTGTTGTTGATGTATCTCACAGTGAATTCCTCTCAAACCTACAGTAAAACACATTCAGAGCATCTGCCAATTGTTGATTCCCTTCAGCAAGGGAAGGAGGTTTGCTGTAGCCAGTAATATTTTTAAGACTTCCACACATTTGCTGGTTCATTTGTTGATAACTGATTCCTCTCAGCTTTTTAGAGTAGCTTTTCTTTGCTGATCTGATCTCTCTTAATACACTGTACAGCAATCTCTGGCCTGATTGTACAGCAATCTTATTTGTATATTAGATATGCAGCAATCTAATTTGTATTCGTGGTTTAAGATTAACTTAAGAAACCATGGATACAAATAATGGATAAGACATATGTTTAATTTAAAATATGCCTGGATTCAGGCCTAAGTATGTTTCTTTAATATTTTGCTATCAGTGAAATGCTGTATATTGTGCTAAGCCATAACATGATTGGTTGGTTCAGTCACTATGTGATCTCATTCACTACTGTTTGTAAATCATGACCTAGCCACACGCTAGATTAGCAAGTTTGAAAAAGTACAGTACTTTTGTATAAATTTGTAAACTTTATTATAAGCTACAAATGCATTTTCTATAAATCCAAAATATCCAATACTTCTGGTTGAGACGATGCCTTAAATTCAAAAGTCACGGCCTAAACAATGTAAAATATCACATAGGTTGATTAATCGGGTTTTTTTCTTACTATAGGGTACAAACACAACACATATTAAGCTGAAATGGGGGGGAGGGGACATGTAGAGGTTGTCCGAATGTTTTTAGTATAATTATGGTACATCTACCTTATTAAAACTTTTTTTTCAAGTGAAATGCGCAACCCATTTTGGTGTTTGTCTTTTTGTTTACTCTTTGGAAAAAAAAGAAAAGAATATACTCTTTTTCGCCAGAAGGGACCTGCCGAATATTGAACCCGGAAATGAACCAAGTGAATGAAAGCACCATTCGCACGCCCTTCGCAACCAATCGTAGAGGAGGCGCTGCGCTTGCGTGATGCCTAGCGTAGAAGCAGAGCTGGTCTACGTCTGAAGCGGGTGGCCGTCGCACGTCACGTTGCGTCACCCTACGTCAGTGTTGGGTGAAAGGTTGAGCCAGGAAAAGAGGCGGAGCTACGCGCACACTCGCGCGGACGGTCGGGACGGTCTGAGGCCCATGTGGAGTGGCAGCAGAAGCAGCCTGACTGCCACATCTGGATCGAGATCTTGGGCCCTCAGCAGCTATGAAGGGGTGAGTGCGGGACCGGCGGCGCCGCCGCGTCTTTTTCCTCTCGGACATCCGTGGGGTGGCTTCGAGGGATCCTTTCTAAGCGAATGGGGGACCTCCGGCTTATTATCTCAGGGCTTTTGGCGACGGCATCTCTTTGTTTCTCTGGCCTAACGACTGCTGGGAGTCGTTCACCTGCCTTTTTAGGGGAATGAAAACGAAGCGGGCGGCCCGTGTGGCTGTTCTTGGCTCAGGGAGTACGTAACTTTATATTCTGGGAGAGAAGAGGCGCTGTGGCGGGGGAGGGGGGAGGGGGAGGCGAGCTTTTTGAATTCGGCCCCGAGGAAGCGTGCGCGGAATTGCACCATAAAGTGAATCACGTCCCAATTAAAGGTGTATCGCACCAGTAAAAATGAGAGCCTAGCCTCCTTTCACAACTATGGTAAGTCCAAAAAAAGGCCCTGAAAATGCAGTTCCTGTTACTTCCAATAACGTTTAGTGTGTTGTGCCATCCCAGGTGCTGAGCAGTCGGTTTTCAATAATCTGTGTAGCTGTTTTTAGTGATACAATATAGTCCTATTTGTATCTGGCTGCCCTGGAGAGAAGCTTAAGATCATAATATGAGATAAAAGGGGGATAAAGATTGAACTATTTCAATCGGTTGAAATATTATTGAAATAAAATTGGTTTGGTGGAATGCCTCTCTGTGTATCTCTTCTTTTACTTTAGCTTATTGTAGCTTAAAAAGAACTAAATATCTAGAGCTCACAAGTGTTTCCCACTACTAGGAAGACAACTTTAATTCATAAAGCAAAACTAAGGTTTTGTGTGTGTGTGTATTACATCTTCAAATTGGAAGTCAGGACAGCTCTCAAATGCTTCACTTACCTTGAACACTCAGTTCTGATTCTACAGCCTCCCTCCCCACCAAGTCACTTCATAATTTAAACAATCATCCTCTTTCAACAGATATAATAGCTTGTGCCATTTTCCCTCAGTTATTCCATTATATGCCCAAAGAGACCTTTGTGGTAGAATCTTTCATTACCATCCAGATATTTCATTTTCCAAGTCATGTGTCTCAGCAAGGCCATAAGGTTGAAAAGAGATTACTAGTCTTTCAAACAGTGCAAAGGTTAAAGCTCAGTCTGGTCTCTCAACAAGGAGACAAGAAGCTGGTCTTTTCTTTCTTGCAAAAGGCAGTCTTTGGAATCATATCTTTGAGAAGAATCTAACTACTTTTACCAATGTTTCAATTCCTTGAAATGCTGATAAAAAGACATTTCAAGATGGATGAAGCTTCATTTGGCAGAGCTTTCGTGTTATACTGACCAAGCTTCTGGCACTTTCCAGCAGCAATGCAAAGAATAAACAGCACTGTAGGTGGATAGCATCTATCTACAGCTTTTATGTCATACTTCATTGCTGAGATTGCATATCATGCTTACTTATCTTATCTGTAGTTTATTAATTTAACACTAAGGTGCAAACTAATGACATGGATTAATCTGGCTTGATTTATTCAGTTTGTCAGTTAATAGCCCCTGGGGCATTAAATCAGCCAAAGAGCCTTGAACATTAAATCAGCCAAAGAGCCTAGAATTGTGCCTGAGCAATTATTAATATCCCTTATTTGAATAAGAAAGTAATAAATACAGCATTCAAAGTATTGTTTAACACTCAGCAAAATAAAGTTCTCAAAATTGAAGTTACTGACATTTTTGGTTGAGAAAAAATTCAGCTCAGATGTTTCTCAAGTAGCTTATAAATAGAGTTGATTTTAAATTGAATAATTGAATAAGAGGTGTGATGCTAGCTTGCCTCTTTGTGGTGCACCCTGGATAGCACGGAAGTGTGAACCAAATGACTAGCAACAATTGGCAGCCAGACTACATTGAAGAATTGGCAGTTAACGACAGTTGGCAGCCAGACATCTTTGTAGAACTTCTGGCAACCCGTCTGGTCCCAGTCTTGAGCCACATTGCATCATTGGCTCTGTGAGGGCAGGAGGCCTTGGTGAAGGAGTACAACAGAATTGTGAGGGGCCCACTTCTTCCTGCGCATGCTGATCTTCCTCATCTAATTGGTTGGCAGGCTTGGATCCAGGGGGGCCCTCTCTGGCACTCGCTCAGCAGCTGTCTGGCAGCTTTGACATCGGCGCCCAGATACAGGCAGCTGCATGGATGGTCCTGCATGTGAGGTGCCGGACTTTGGCCTTCCTCGCCAGCATTGGTCATCTCTGAGCGGCATCCGTGCCCAGCATGGTGTTTGCCAGGACTCACTGTTTGAGTGGGGACTTGTCTCTGCCCCTCAGTGTGACTGTGTTGCTCCTCCACAGAATATCCATCACGTTGTGTCCATCCGGAGGTTGCACGGGTCCAGTGTCTGTTTATTTTTCAGCATGGACTGCCCTGTCCTTGAATGGCTGGATGGATTGGACATTGACATTTGAACTACTATGAGTCCACGTGTTTGCCATATGCTAAATAAATAAATAGCAATTGCTTAAAAAGTTCATGGATTAAATAGCTACAAAAATACTGATAATTTTTTAAACAAACTTTTTACCAATACTGCCTTTTAAATACATACAGTACTTGCATAAAATACTGTTTTGTAAGCTGACTGTTCCTTATCCACGGTTTTCAGTTAATCTCATAAGATCTGTTGAAGCTTCAAACTTTTGTGGTATAGAATCCTAGGTGGTGAACATTAATTACAAATTTCATACGTCACATGATTAGATTGTCTTCTCTGTTTTCAGGTATCCCTGTTGTCTTCAATATAGTGATTGATTCAGTGAGGATAGTATGTTTGGCTAGTTCATGTAGGTGTTTCATTATTCATTATGGTCCTTCCATGTCTAATGAGCATGTCATTGACAACATGTTCCATCACTGATGGGAGTTGCCATGTCTGTTCCAGGAAGATGCTGTGTTCTGTGATATTTTGGAATTAATATGATTGCTGCAATGAAAATGGACTATAGTTAGGTACACCAGCATTGTACTATATCTGGAATATGTAATTTATAAGTTGCCAATAAATGAAAATGTTTGTAGCTCAGAGTTGAAATAAGGGATCCTTGATGTTCTCTGAGCTTGGTTGTTTGAAGATGTTACCTAGTTTGAGTAATGAAATATCTGTAAGAAAACAACCAAGCTCAGAGTGCCAAGGACCTCTCAATTTATAAATTAGTTTTGAGTGAGAAATGATAGGTAGTCTTTTAATGCATTTTATCTTTCTTACTACTTTTTATTTGTTCGGTTCTATCTTTTGTCTTACTATTATGGTAGTTTAAGTGAGATTTTAAGGCTGTAATTTAACACTGCACAATTACATATGGAAGAAATCCACTAATTATTCATTGATTTTTATTGAAAAGTGTAGTTTTGTTCCATACTATGTGGTATTTAGTGCTGTATTTGTTTCCATATGTGGATATGTGTATTTGTACTTGTATGTTTTAAGCATCTGAAGTGAGATTATAGATACAGATTTATTATGTGCATGCTGGCAGAGATATAACCCCGGAACCTGCTTATCCTAGCTATAAAGTGATACCCAGCAAAGATATGATCCCTGACAAACTTAGCCCATAAGCATTTCCTTTACACTTCTCAGAATTCCTAACTCTTTCTACTTTTTAAAGTTTAGTTTTAAAAGGACATATTAAGCTGTGGAAAAAAAGAATTAGCATCCAGAATAATACTCATTCCCAAAAACCCTTTGATACCTTATGAAATGGGCAATGTTTGGGTGGCTATACTTTGGAGGCAAAGGAGATTGTGTGAATAGGGCCACGCCCTATCTATGTGTAGTACTTTGTTATGAAGCTGACATGAAGGTCACTATCTCTGTTGTTCCGTTCAGAGAACTGGATTCAGCTCCAAAATTGTCAAAGAAAGAATGTAATTCTAGTGATACTGTAGAATTCACTACCTTTACCTCATCCATTGTATACCTTTAGAGTTTGAATAGCTGAGCATTGGAAGTAATGTTTTATTGTGATTCCACTGTTATTTCTCTTAATACTTTTGGAAAATGATTATTTGTTTAAATTACAGAGTGAGAGGATGTTCCCGAAAGTTGTGTCTTGTGTTCATGTAATACCTATATTAACTCTGTCTGAAATGATCATGCATGGGTTTGAAGAACTTACTCTTTCCGAAAGCTCAGAATTGAATATCTCAGCAACTTCTGTATGTTCCCTGACTATTAAGGACATGATTGAGGGGAATATAAGTTGAAGCTGATTTGAGACAAGACAAATTGTTAAGGTTGATTCTGATAGCTCAGGAGTGTCAAACTCAAGGCCTGGGGGCCAGATCCGGCCCGCGGGGTGCTTAGATCTGGCCCATGGAGCTGCCCTGGAAACAGTGAAGGACTGGCCCACAGTGGCTCTGCCAGTGAAAACAGAGCTCTCAAAGGCCGTGTGTGACCCTCCCGAGTTCCATTTTTGCTGGCAGAGGGTTGGTTGCAGGAGGCCATCACAGCTGAAAATGAAGCCCAGGAGTCCATTTTTGCTGGCAGAGTTCTTTGGTCACCACCCTGATGCATCCCTGAATGAAATTGAGTTTGATACTCCTGTGACAGCTGAATTTCAGTGAATAGGCTTGTTCTGCATGAGATTGCATGGCCCTAAAAGGAGTTAGTTCCAGGGTCCTCCTGGGTCGATGCTGTACATGTACAAAAAGCTTGTGTTGGGATTTTGGTATCTTTGTCTGATAAAGTAATAAAGACAGGGTAAAAGTCAAATTGTTGTCCAATCATACCTGGCCAATAAAGAATTCTATTCTATTCTAAATAAATAACAGTAACTCTGAGTTATTTCATATAAACTAGGTTCTCTTCTTACTAATCAGAATGGCCACAATTCCTTTTCAGAATAATAATTCAGATTTGTTCTATATAAAATTGCAAAGTATTTGAATTGAGAATTTAACATTTAAGGTATGTTGAAGTGTTCTATTAAATCATCTGTAATTTAATAAAAGTGGAATTCCTAGAGGTATTGAGCATGTTTTGATTTGTTCCAGTAGCCGGATCGAATTGGGTGATGTGACACCACACAACATTAAGCAGTTGAAGAGGTTAAACCAAGTCATCTTTCCTGTCAGCTACAATGACAAGTTCTACAAGGATGTGTTAGAAGTCGGCGAGCTTGCCAAACTGGGTATAAATTCTTGATCTTTATTTAGTGGGTTGGTGCTAAATTATCTAATGCTGTATATGTTATTGAACATATTTTTCATGTATTTCTTTAATTGTACATCACATGAGGCTGGACATAATATTGGTCCAAGTGATACTTTACATTTTTGAACTGTTTCCCCAATCTTTGGAATCTATATTTCCTCTAATCTGAGATTGTTATTCCATGTCCTGGACTCTGGAACAATTCGAGAACATGTCATACCCTTCTGTCATCTTCAATATCTCTTCAGGTACTCTCTTGAAGCGATAGTGAGTGATTAGCTTTCACCCAAGCCTTTACAATCTCTAAGGTAGACTATTGCAATATACTCTCAGTTGCTATGATTATTCCAGCTAAAATTCAAATGATAAAAAACATCATTCCTTTTTTAGCTTTTCATCACAGATTTTTGATTGATTTTTAGTATATTATAAACTGAAAACCAGGAGCTTTTGTCCTATCTTAGCTGGGTGACTTTAGGTCAGTGGCTGTCTCTCAGCTCTAGGAAGGAAGCAAGAGCAAACCACAAATGAAATCTTTCCCCCTTCAGGGATTTTGTCCAGGCGTTCACCTGCCATCAACACTGGGTCAAAGGAACACACATATACACAAAAAATCTGTGTGTCTTTGGAAATGTCTTTCCATTGTCCCATTGATTATACTGCTGTGCTCTATGTTGATGCTTTTGAACCTTCCTTTACAAAACATATTTTCTGCACATAAAAAGCTATTATGGAAATCTATCCTAGTATTCTTTTAATCTGCTTGTTTTTGATGTCCATAGTTGATTTTTTTCCTCAAAATAACTGACCTTTCTAACTAGCATATGTTTCAGTGAGTTTTAGGCCTTGTTTGAATTGATTCAATTCAACATTTAAATTGATTCAATTCAACATTTGAATTGACTTAAAATGTAATATATGAAAATTTAAAAAGTCTTGAATTCTATTCATGTAAATTTAAAAAAAATCAGTATATGCTTTCTTTCTGTTCCCATCTCTTTTTGACAGCCTATTTCAATGATATTGCTGTGGGCGCAGTGTGCTGTAGAGTAGATCATTCTCAGAATCAGAAAAGACTGTACATCATGACGCTTGGATGTCTGGCCCCTTACCGACGGTTAGGAATAGGTAAGGAATAGGCAGCAAATACTGAGTGGCCTTTATTTGACTCTTGAGCTTTAAAGTGTACTTATTTCTGTACTCGTTCCAGTAATAAAATAGTACAAGATGCTAGATGAAAAGTCAAACTTCATATATCATATGAAGAAGCTTTTAGAATGGAAGCAGTTATTAGGGTTATTTATCAAACTATCAACTTGTAGCTAATAAATTCAGTAATTTAACAATGCATTTCCATACTTGATGTTATTTTCTAAAAGCACCCTTAATTTTTTCTTTAAACTAATAAGCGCAATCTCAAATATTGGAGTTGAGATTCTGATTTCAGAAGCAGTGTTGCTGGTCTTGGGATATAAACTCGCAAAACTTGAAAAAGTCTAGAAATAACATGATTTTCTTTTGTACTTTCTCAATTCTTTTTCAGGAACTAAAATGTTGAATCATGTGTTAAACATCTGTGAAAAAGATGGCACCTTTGATAATATCTATCTGTAAGTAAATATTGTTGATTGATTTCATTTAAGCATGGGGGATTTCAATTATTTGTGTTCATTTTTAATTCAACTTAATACTAAGGCATAAAAATTAAAATGTTCAAAGAAAAATAAGCTTAGATCAAGAATTGTCCAACTTTTTCTGTAACAGGACAGATCCCACCCTCTGTAAGTGCAGCTGGAAGTCTGTAGGCTAAGGAGTACTGCAGCCATTAATGTAGGCATTGTTCTAGTCTTCTTCCACCTCAGGTATCAACATGGCCCACTTGTAGATTGATCACCTATTATTTTGATTACCATTGTTATCTGCGGTCTTTCCATAGAAATTGCTGTACAGGTAGTCATTGACTTACGATCACAATTGAGCTCCAGATTTATGTTGCTAAGTGAGAAATTTGTTAAGTGAGTTTTGTCCCATTTTACAACTTTTCTGGCCACAGTTGTTAAATGAATTACTGTGGTTGTTAAATTAGTAACATGGTTGTTCAGTGAATCTGGTTTCCCCATTGACTTTGAAGGTCGCAAAAGGTGATCCCATGACCCCAGAACACTGCAATGGTCATAAGTATGAAACAGTTGCCAGGCATTTGAATTTTGATCACATGATCATGGGGATGCTGCAAAGGTCATAACTGTAAAAACAGTCATAAGTCACTTTTTTCAGTGACGTAACTTCAGAGCCATTATAACTTCGAATGAACTGTTCTAAGTCAAGGACTATGTCATTGGAATGAAGAGTGCATTTGACAATTCATGTTTAATATTCTTGGAGTAAGAATAGTAATGGTTGCTTTCACTATTAAAGCTGAAAAGGGTAGTGCTTCTATGGGAATTCTAAACTGCAGTTTGAAAATTTAGGAGAGGATAAGGAGATCCAATGTCAGTTTAGGAATCAAAGAATGGGGCAGATTAAGCCTAACTGGTAAGCTTCCTTTCCTTTGTAGGCTTATAGGTAGTCCTTGACAACGAATTGTAGTGAGGCAGTACATAACTTATGCCTATGTTCTATGTCTTTCTTTTCATTTGTTTTTCTGATGCCTAAATGCCTTTGCTAATACATGGAACCAAATTCTAGTATATTGTTTCTTTTTCTGTCCTAGGCATGTTCAGATTAGCAATGAATCAGCAATTGATTTCTACCGAAAATTTGGATTTGAGATCATTGAAACAAAGAAGAACTACTACAAAAGGATAGAACCAGCAGATGCGCATGTGCTGCAGAAAAGTCTCAAAGTCCCCTGTCTTGGCCAGAACACAGATATGCAAAAATCTGACAACTGAGCAAAACCCAGGAAACCCTTTCTTGCACTTTCTTGTCACCAAATAAGGAAAGAAGGCCTGGAGTTTTGGTTTTTTGTTTCCTTTTTCCTAATACGTGCTGTACCTGTCCAACAAATTAATAACTTCCTAAGGATTGTCAAATTGTGTGTTTTTATTTTATATCTCTACTTTGCATTCTTTGGGATAAAAAAGTTTTAATGGGGGAGGAGGGAGAGGAGGCTTCATATGGTCTTCCAAAGGTCATTTTTTTTCTTCAGCATGTGTGATCCTTCTGCTTTTCTGATGAAGGACAAAGTTTAAGCAATACCTTGCATCAGTGCCATATTGCTTTTCCAATTTGGAAGTTATTTCTCTCTAGTTCTGAACTTGATTTAGCAGGTTTGGCCTTGTTGATCTTTGGAACATACACAGACATCAGTCTTATGAATGGTTTATTTGTACTAGGTTTGGCCAGCTGATGTCATGTTCCTTGACAGGTGTAGGTGACAATCCAAATGGGTTATACCATCTTTCTTTCATCCTCTGATTATATACATTTCATGGGGAAAGATGAACATGCCTTGGTTCTGGCACAGTGGAGGAACAAACGTTTAATGTTGTTAAAGCAGGTGACTAAAAAATAAGCTTTGTTCTGAAAATGGCTCTGCTGGTTTGCTGAAATTAGTTACTTAAAACAAGATGGTTAAAACTATTTTTCTTACACATTTAAAGAATGACTTTCATCTTTAAAAAAGGAGTGTTGTAAAACACCAAGAAGCATGGCTTATTGGGGGAGCATTGTAAAGATTCAGCAAATACTTGGCATTCTCCTAATGACATATGAGAACTGTAGCCTACTTTGCTGAGCTCTTGCTTTGTATTTTGTTATGCTCTTGTTTGCAACTTCAGTTTGAGTACCTGGCATTCAGTACTACAATGTCAGATTCAGTTTATTCTTTTCATTTGGGGAAATGTAGCCAGTTGCAGTGGAAAGATTCTACCCTATCACTTAAATCAATATTAAAATGTATTTCTTTTCTGTTTTTGGACCTGAGCTGTATTTCACATTTTTCTGCTTTGAAAAAGAATTTTTTGGGATTGTGTGGTTATAGTGTAATCTTGTGATTGGATGTTTTAATTTCATTGTGATGTTGAATTGGAAGCAAAGGAAACCCAAATTGGGAAAATTCAATTAAGTTGCATTATGAAGCATTTACTACAAAGGAACTGGAAACACTAGAATCTTCATTATTCCTTACAATCCTAGCAGAAGATCCTGAATGAGTATTAGATCAGTACATTATAAACTTTCTCCAAGCTACATAATTCCAATTAAAAAAAGATTAAGCTTCTCCTGTGGAGGCCCTGAGTTGGAAAGATTTTCATACTGATGTTTTGGTCATAGTTTGCAAAGTTTTATATTTTAGTTTCTCAGAAATTGTCTTCCTTTTACAAAGAGGTTGAAGTGCACCTTGAGCTTATGTGCCCATACCTCTTCCCTTATTAGTGGTAGATAAAGCATATAGTTTGAAGAAGGTTGGAGACAAATTAGTGTTAGTCCGTAACTGCCTTCTGGTGCTAAGGAAAAGGTATATCCCTATTCCAGAATTGAAAGTTGAGATTTAAAATGGTTCTCTTGCTTGTTTTTTCAGGCAGTTTTCCTTTGTGATTTCAAGAAAATTCAATTTTTAAAACATGTTTTCAGTCACTGTCATTTTGTAAATGTATTTTTCAGTATTTCTTGGAGATATTCATTATGCAGTAACTATGTGCTGTAGAAACTGAAAGAAATCAGAAAATGAAGTTATACTTCTGTATAACTTGGCTACTCCTTACTTAGAAAAACAGAGAATTCAATTCCTAGCTCCCTGGACTGTTTTCTCTCTGCCTAACTATAGCAAAGAGCAGCAGATTGCTTAATTATCTTGGTATACTGCAGAAATTTGCCAATTATGGGAAATGCCTTGCCTTTTGAAATAATCAAATGCGGGAGTATCTAAAATAGATGCTTTTTAATACCTCACAGGGAAAGCAGGAAATTTTCCACTCTTGCCTTTCAGCATATGTATAGTTATACTAATCGGTTGGGGAATACTGTTCAATCATCTTCACTTCTATTTAGACATGTGTACGGAATATACGTGACATTAATTCATAGCTATAGCTGAATGATCTTAAAGGAGTTTAGCACAAAATAGTTTCTCATAGATAGCACAACTGTGAAAGTGAACTTCATAAAAATACATTTTGATATATAGATAACCATGGCATGCAAGAAGAAAGTATCTGTACATGTCAGGAAAGAGGGAATATTTTTGTATAGATAAAAGTATTTCGTTAATTATGTCCATTAAAGATGACATGCTATTACAGCCTAAATAAATTCTAGCTATGTTTTAATTAACCTGGCCCTGTGATGCCTACTAAATTTGAGCAACCCACCCCCTTTACATGGGTCACTTTTCAACTGAATTGCAAGATTTCTCTAAAACTTTCTAGTCCAGTTTCTTGATTATAAATTTGAATTAATTTATTTGACATATAAAAAGACTTGGGCCTTTGAGGAAATCTGTTGTCTTCTCCGCAATAACCATAAAAGCTTTTATCTTTAAGATACCGTAATGGCCTTTTAAAATTATACTTTGAGCACAGGGGATCTGTTGGTCTGGGAAAGGCCCTGCCCTGTAGTATCAGAAGGCAGTCTTCCTTGTCATAGTCTCTCTGCAACACCTGTTCCTTTTCCTTGTTTACTGTGTCAGGCTTCAAGATTTATAAGTAGTGTTCAAACTACAGAATTAAATGGCTGTCTGCAAATGGATATTTCCTCTTTCTCTTGTACCTCGCTAAAGATCATCCTCATCTACCAAGATTCACCAAGAAGGCACAGCAGAACAGTCTTCACATCTTTAGGTCCTTCTGTGGGAAAGAACCCTCCAAGCACTGACACTGCTGAAAGAACCAGCTGTGGTTTATCCCAGTCTGTTCCATTTGGGCTCCCTCTCCACCTCATTCAATGATTCCAGCCTTGGAATTGAATATAGGAACAAAATTTACTGTATTTTTGAATTCTCTTTGAACTTAAAGCATTGCCCTTACCATTTCTTCTTAGCCCCTGCAAACATTTATAGAGTGTTAATTTTAGACACTAAACTTTTTTTAAAAAATCTCATTGACAGTGAGATGGGTGGATTAAAAATTTAATAAAAACATAAAATAAAAATCCACGCTCAAGTCAAAGTATTCAGGTGTTTTCCTCCTTTCCCAACTATCCCTATAGTATCTCAATAAGATGTAGTGATGGATCTGATTGCATGTTAGGTGCTTTTAAAACTGCTCTTCCATCAGACATACATGAGTGGCAATTGGCAAACATGACAGAGCATCAATGCCTGTCATACAAAATCGCTATTAGCAGATCCTTGAAGATTACCACAGTTGCCAAGGCCAGATATGTAAAAAGAAATTACCAGTGCCACTATGCAATTATCACTTGCCAGCATTCATGACAAATAGGAAGAATGGGGAATATGGTTCATAAATGTTCCAGCTCTGATATTCAGGACCTCCTTGTGTACAATTTAAAAGGAATGTCAACCTTTACATAATCAATTCAGTCAGAAGCATTACTTGAGGATACTACAATGTGTCCTTCCTGGAAATAGTCAATAAAAACTGCATTCCAACTATGGAAGTGTATCTTTCTCCAAAATAACCAACTTTGGCTTCATGTTTAATCTATGGGTGCTTCACAATGTCAGTTTTTGCTACATACAAAAAATTTCTGATTTGGAAGAAGAAAAGTCACTTTTTAACATGTGCCACATTACTGTTACTAGGAAAATTTGAGCATTTCTGAAGATTGAATACTTTGGTGAAAAATGTTTGCAAAACAAGGATGAATTGCATTGCCCATAGATCTTAGGTAATGCCTTTATACTTAAAAACAAGTTTATTTTTCAACATTAGGAACAAACATTTCCCTAATGTTACCTTTTAATTTTTATTACATATTATTGGGCAGCATGAATTAAAATCTGCATAACATTTCCCTCAACCTCTTGATTCTCTACTGCAATTTTCATTGTTTAAGGCAGTGTCCCCCAAACATTTTGGCACTAAGGACTTGTTCCTTGGAGATAGATTTTTCCATGGACCAGAGGGGGCATGGTTTTGCATGCTGGCTGCATCCCACACTGCGGCTCTATTTAGGATGTGCTGGACTGATTACCTTAAACCAGGGATCCCCAACCCCATGGTTTAAGGTAAATCAGTCCAGCACATCCTAAGTAGAGCCATTTTGGTAATGAACGTAATAGAAAAGCTGGCTGCTTTTAGCCCAACTTTCCCTAAGGGTTGTTGGAAAGTTAAGATAGGATAAAATCAATTATTTTTTAAAATTTATTTATTGAATTTACATTGCCGCCTATTTGTCCATGATGACTCAAGGTGGCTTACAAAATATAAAACCACATTCAAAACAAAATGTAACACAAAGAAACAAATAAATTAATATAATACAAAATAACATCACCTGCCAAATCCCACCCGCCGCCCTGGTGATAGCAGATCACACGAGCCATTTAATGGGCTCTATCCCGCTCTGGGTTGCCCAGGCCTGCTTGCAGAACCAGGTCTTCAGTGCCTTCCGGAAGAGTATTAGAGTGGGGCCATTCTAATTTCTGGGGGAATGATGTTCCAGAGAGAGGGAGCTACCACGGAGAAGACCCCACCAGGTGTATCTCCCTTGGGGATAGGGCCTGCAACATTCCCTTCCTCCCCGCTCTGATTGGGTCAGGTAGACTGGCAAGAGACGGTCCCTCAGATAATCTGGTCCCAAGCCTTGAAGGGCTTTAAAGGTGAGAACCAGCACCTTGAATTGCACACGGAAGCAAATTGGTAACTAATGCAGCTCCCACAGGAGAGGCGATACATGTTTTTCTAGGTAGATTTGAAGAAAACAAATGGGTACTTAAAATTTTGAAAAAGCTGGCAGCAGTACAAGAAACAGATTTTTCTTTGGCCCAATAAGCAGTGCTGAAAATCCCAAACAAGGTTAATAAATAAACATTCTAATTTTTCTAAATAAATAAAAACCCATTCTCTCTGTTTCAGCAGACACTTGCATTTCAAAGGACAGGACAATATTTTTCTTTTCAAAGGTTTTGTGCAGGCTATTCCCCCCTCCCCCCCGCAACTTTCTTCCTTTCAAATAAAAGTATAGAAGAGGCCTCTATTATATAAATTCCCACAGTGTCTGGGCTATGGATTTCTGGATTACTTCTATTCTGAAGCACTAACCTTTGAGGGGAAATTGTATCAAAGCACTACATTTCTGCAAATTTGCATTCAACACAAACTTTTCTACAGGCAACAACTGTAGCTCCTGAGAGAAGTCTCCCCATTGAGGAAGGCCACAACTCAGATTATTATTATTTTTTTACATTTATTTTTTTAACTGAATGGCTATGGATCAAGTATGTTTTTTCTTCAGATTAAATAAACTTTCATGTTACTCTTTTCTGTGGAGAGTAACATTCAGAATCAAAGTGAAATGATAATAATGTTTTCAACTTTTACTAATATTGAAACATTACAGAAAGGCAGAGAACTAGGAAAATAATCAGGA